CACGCTGTGCAAGAACAATACATGTTTATCCGCGCTACTGTCTTTTTAAATTCAGTAACGGATACAGTATTGTGCGGTGCCCCAAAAACGGGAACACGACTGGAATGTAACTTGCTGTCATAATTTTGCATAATAAAATTAAATTCGTACTTATAAAGTCCACAAAACAAAATGTTTTATGTTTGAAAAACATAAGTAATGTTATAATACTATTAAATAATTATATTATACGTAATATTTTATAATATTATATTTGATAATATTTTTACTTCGTAATTAATTGTAGGTACTTAGTACAAGCAAATTTTTTTAAATATCTTTGCAATAGCCAAATTTTTTCCTGTTTTAGTAAAAAAATAATGAGTTGAAACAATGAAGTACATAACATTTCTTTAACATGGTCATCTCCTTTGCTCTATGTACACAATTTTATATATTTTTTTACTTGTTCGTTCTCATTTCTTTTTATTCTGGCATGTTTATTTGCTCGTTTGCACATTTAGCAAATCACTGTAATTCTCTCACTTTTTTGCATTTAGTCATCTGATATTTTGGTAAATGCTTGCAATAATGTTATGGTATTATTTTTTATTATTAATTTTTACTAAAATATAGATAAATGTTTTTGCATAGAATTAATAATATTGTATAATGAAGTTTCTTGTATATGTGATACTACATACAAATAAAAAAGAAGCAAGATTAGCATCAAACTTGATATCATTATATTATCATTGCAAGTATTTACCTAAGTGTCAGGTAAAATAATGCGAACAAGCGAAAGAACACGAGTGATTTACTAAACGTGCAAAAGAGCGACTGAATATGCGAAAAGCAAAAGAATGAGAACAAGGGAGTAAAAAGTAATAGAAAAATTGTGAAAGTAGGCTAGAAGAGAAAATCGCGCACGAAAATATAATGTATTGTTACAATTTAATTGTTTAATCTTATTTTTTCTTTATTTCAACATAAAAAATTTATCTATTAATTTTGCAAAGCTATTAAAAGAAATTCGCCTTAGAAACGCTTGCTTTTTAGCATTTATCGTACGCTGTTGTCGGCTGATGTTTGAAAGCGTTGGTAAAAGCGAGACAAACGATATTTACTCGCTTATACCGAATCGATTGGCTGAGCGTAAGAACGCGTGACGCGATTCTCGCTTGTTGCGTGCCTCTCCTACCGCGATGTTGTTAGTGCGAGTGTCCTTCCCGCTCAGTTCTAACGACGCCATTGGGATGGAAAGACGTAACGTGCGAAGAAGTAAGTAGGAATAAAACATATATATATATATATATATAATATACATATTATTAATTTAATATCATGTATAATTAATTAAATTTTTTTGCAGGTAAAACTGAGGGCCATTCCTCATCGCCCATGATATCGCCGGCACGTGGATCAGCACGTGCGTTGGAACCGGTCCACGTACCGGCTCAGGCGCCCGTCCAGGCACCGGCGCCCGTCCAGGCACCGGCGCTCGTCCAGGCACCGGCGCACGTCCAGGCACCGGTTCAGGTGCCCGTCCAGGGACCCGTCCAGGCACCGGCTCAGGCGCCCGTCCAGGGACCCGTCCAGGGATCCGTCCAGGCACCGGCTCAGGCGCCCGTCCAGGCACCGGCTCAGGCGCCCGTCCAGGCACCGGCTCAGGCGCCCGTCCAAGCACCGGTTGAGGTCTTCTTTCAGACACCGGCTCAGGCGTTCGGCCGACAACCTCTTCAACCAATGGGAAGAAACGCATTAGAAAAAATAAGTTATAAGAAAACTTTTAATATCGTATGTGCGTGAGTGTATGTGCGTGCATGCATGCGTGCGAGTGAAGTGTATAAAAATGAATGCGAGCGAGAGAACAAGAGAGCGAGCGAGCGAGCGAGCGAGAGAACGAACGAGAGAACGAGCGAGCGAACGAACGAGCGAACGAACGAGAGAACGAGCGAGCGAACGAACGAGAGAACGAGCGAGAGAACGAGCGAGCGAACGAGCGAGCGAACGAACGAGAGAACGAACGAGAGAACGAGCGAGCGAACGAACGAGAGAACGAGCGAGCGAACGAACGAGAGAACGAGCAAGCGAGCGAAAGAACGAGCGAGAGAACGAGAGAGCGAGCGAGAGAGTGAGAGAGCGAGCGAGAGAGAGAGAGGGGGGGAGGGAGGGAGAGTCATAGGCACGCATGCACAATTACTTAATGCAGAGCTCGGAATTATTTAAGCATTTTAGCAGAATTTTGCAATTGATGCCTCCTTTTCTCTCCTTATCGCACATACCGCAGTTGCTTGGGCCAGCACCGCCGAGCGTTAGGAGCGGTGCTGGCTGCGGCTGCGGCTGCGGCGTGCGCGGTAAGTAGAGAAAACAAGGCATCAACCGCAAGATTTAGCTAAAATGATGAAATAATTCCGAGCTCTGATTTAATAAATATAGAATCTCTAATTGAGTTTATCTTCTGTTTACAGCGAATTAATAATCTGATACGTAAAAAATTACGCACGGTGCAGAAAAGAGGACAGGGTTTCAAACAGGAAGCACCACCACAACCACCACCACCACCACCACCATCATCAGCAGCAGTGGCACCTTATTGGCATCCGTGCAGATATGCTCCATCAGCATATCCAGCATATCCAGCATATCCTCCACCGTGTCCGCCGCCGTGTCCGCCGCCGTGTCCGCCGCCGTGCCATCATCCATCGTACGGCTCTGCGTACAATCAGCCGTATAATGGATACGGTTCATCGTATTATTGGTAACCAAGTAACAAGTAAAGATATTACAATTTTTCGACTCGAATTGTTCAAAATAAATGACAAACAAGCTTCAGAGCCACAGCTAGTTAGACATGCTCTATTAATTACTTTATATCACATAACAATTAATTAGACGTTTCGACCATTCGGATGTGGTCATCTTCAGTACAATACTTAAAACTATCTTGTAAAACATATTACAATAATTTAATCCT